TTATTAGGGAGTTTATCATTATACAACACAAGGTTGTACAACGAAATGACAGTTGCAGGTCCTTAATGCTACACACACAGAACATAATTCATTTTACATTATATAACAAATTTGCATGTTTATTAAGATATTATCACACACCTGTGTTCTTTAAAGGAGTGTTTCTCAATATAGGGTCCTTAAGGTGGTTTAAGGTGGGGTCCCCAGAAAAATGGGGAATATTTTAATTTCACTATTATTTCATTTGACTAGAAGTTAAATTTGGGGGTCTTTGACACCAAAAAGCTAATAGCAGCAGCAGTAATGCAGAGATGTTTTGTATATAAGCATTTTAGTAATATTTTATTGCCTGTGATTGTTATTTTTGGTGTTGAAGTGCAACATTTGCATTGTAGTGAGCTGAGTGAGTTTAAATAAAAAAGCAGAAGAAGATCAGTGTTGTAATTTGTACATGTTAAAACTCTAAAAATAGACCAAACTTGTCTTCTTGTTTTGGTTTCTGTGGCTTGTAACAGTGCTGAAAAGCCCTTGTTGGCAGACAAACATATTGTATGCTAGTAACTATTCAACAAAACAGCCCTTCAAAAATGCAACCTTTGGGAAACTTAAGATGTTCTATTTTTGTATTATAAAAATAATAAAAATGTCCTTTAATATAACACAAGGCAAAACATCCCCACTGGAAACTACAGCCTAAAACCATACCATTATTGTTGAAACTGTATGTCAGAGATGAGTTACACATAATGGCTGTTGCACAGGGGCTTCCTTTTTTCTGGTAATTTTTTATAGTGTCTAAATGCATGACTTGTCTGCTTTCATATGTGACAAACACAGCTCCTCTTCCCCTTTGCAGGGACGCCCTCCCTTTCTTCCTCTGTCTGTCTCTGTCCCTGCCTGCATCTGTTGCTTCACTGTTGTCTGATGCACTCAATCTGACCTTAAAGGGAATTGCTTTAAATTGGGAATTAATAAAGTTGAGTTAAACAGCATGTCTGTCTGCCTTCCTTGGTCTGTCTCCTCTGCGGGAGGTAGTTCTGGTCCAGATTCACATGGTGCTCCACATGCTGGAAATCCCCTCAATTTAACTAACAGTTGCACCAACAAACTCCCCCTAACTACCGAAAAACACAAAAGGAACACATGCAAACCTTCTCTCTGTTCATAAATTAAATGTGACATATTATTAAAAAGATGTTACTGATGTGGCCAAGTTTCTTCTTGGAACTATTTCAGGTGAACAACCTTGTTTTTAAGTTTATCGTCATTGGCATTATAAAAAATAGGGCCAGTACATTCCAATCCAATGAAAAGCTTGTGCCCTGGCTCTCTCTTTGCACAAACAGCGCACATATGCACGCAAGATAAAACGATCACTGCCTTCTTTTGGCTATAAAAGGGGAATACAACTTAAAACATACAGTCCTCACTTTGTTTTCAACTTTGCAAGTCCTATTTGCTAGTATCGAGATTGTCTGTGGACTGAAGGTGGTGTGAGTCCTATTGCTTTGGAAGCACTTAAAATCATGAATGACTGATACTGTCATTGATACACTGAGCCTTCATACACACACAACACACACACACACACACACACACACACACACGTTTGCTTTAGGAACAATTTTTCCCTGCCACCATCATGTCATTTCCATTTCATGTTTCATGTAAATATTAAATTACCAACCTACTGCACAAGCATAAACATTAGAAACAAGGCAAACATTTAGCTCACTAATTAGCATGCTGTGTCTTGTTTGTTTAGTTCATACAGAAACTGGCTTGTGGCTTGATCGATGCAAGAAAATTACCTATCTAATACAGCTTAATAATGTAGTGTAGCCGACCACCTCGCTGTGTCTGACACTAAACTTCCTTTAAAACAACTCCTTGAAGTGCATCAAAAGGAGATCTGTTCAGAAGCTGTTTTACTCTCATCTAGAGAGTGAAAGCATTAACTAGAGTTCACAAAGCAGTTTGAACTAACCTGAACAGTAAAGTGCTGTATGTGTAACCAGAGCGCCATCTAGCAGAGGTTAGAGAGAAATCTGACTTTTGGTTTAGAAAGACGAATTTTCACACATTACAAAAACATGGAATTGCTGTTTCAGGATTCATTATTTCCAATTAGAATAAAAGCAAAAAACACACTATTTCAAATGGAACATAGCTTAACAGATCTGCTGAAGCAACTGAAATATCACAAACCTTTAATACCAACCATGATTAGTATAATGTATCATTAATCATGTCCTGTATAAATCTTAAGGATAATATGAAGCTCACATTTAACTGGAAATGCAAACCAGTTAATAAAAACATATATTGTAAATAAACTGTTTTAAAACTAATTTATAATTTCATAACTGCATACAATGAAATTAAATAAAAAATAAACCTGCATACTATTTCTTCAAGTCTTAGTAGAGCTATTTAAATGCTCGTTATGACCTTAGATTTAAATAATTAGTTGGACTTTATAAGATTTTACAATGATCGATTCTGCTTATTGGTCCAGTTCTTTATTGATTCCCTGACTAATTAATGGTCACTTTCTGTGTGAAAACAAAGTAGGCCTTCAAAGGATTTCAGGGTCAACGCAATTATTATTATCTCTGAGTGTGAACACGGTGTAGAAAAAGACTATATTAAATAGTAGTTTGAGTCTTTTGATGAAATAAAGCCACACTGTGGACCATTTCTTCCTCTCCGCCATGATTCCTTCATGTTGCAAGTTCCCAGTAGTGTAACCACGAGTTTGACATCATTGTTTTGCAATACGCTCGGTTGCATACGATTCCAATGAATCGGACACTTTGGAACAGCTCTGGATTACCCAAACATTAGAGTTCTTAAGAAACCCTGCTTAGTATGTGCGTGTGTGTGTGTGTACCTGTGGTGTAGTCTTCTTATAAACATCGTGTCCCTGAATGATGTCAGTGAACACTCTGTCTTTCAGCTGTTGGTACTCCTCATCAGTCAGCTGGGTGGACTCTAACTTAGCCCCACAACACCTACACGTACCCCTAAACGCACACATAAATGACACGTCCATACATACAGAACCCACATTTTTCCAATGCACAAATATGGATGATGAAAACACATAGAAGCAGGAGGTGGTGTAATTACTTTGGGGAGACGCTGGTCCAACTTCCTGTCCAGTTCTGCCCTGTGAGACTGCAGACAGTGAGGATAGACAGACAGAGAATAGAGAAATGAGAGCGAGGAGTGATCAGTTGAGGTGGATAACAACAGAAGGGAATGAGATTGTATTCATTTTATACAGACAAGGGAAAATTACTTTGGGTATGATTGCTGGTTTGCAATTTTATCTTGTTTTTATCAGCATAAAAGGGTAGAAATTAAAAGAGGAAAATCACCTGAAATGTATTCAGAAGACATATCTTAGTACAACTTAGTTATATATAACGAGTTATAGTTTACTGGCCATATAATGGTTTTAAAAGGTCCCATATTGTAGAAAGTGAAAATTCCACGTACTTTATGATTATAAATCAGGTCTAGGTGCTGTATAAACATTGTGAAAGTATCTAAACTATATCATACTGAAAGACTTCGTGACAGTTTAGAGAACCGATGCTCATAATTTCAGGAATTGTATAATGTGAATCCAGCCTCAGTTTCCCTCCTGACGCTCTCGTACCTCTCAAACCAGGTCTTGATGCTGCACACGAGGCTGTATTGGGGGTAGATCTGGTTGTTCCTCATGTAGAGCAGAAGCCCCAGAAGCCTCTCATGGTGCTCAGACTGAGATATGGCCTCTGTCTTCTCCCCATTTTCCTCTTTGGTCTTCCCCACTGCCTTAAACAGAGAGTCCCAGGTGTCCTGGTGTGGACTCAGTCCCTTTTCAATTAATTCATCATAAAGAGCCCAGGCAGTGGTCAGGTCGCCATGGAACATCGCTGCGGAGATGACACAACCGTAGTTTCGTGGTGATGGAGTAATGGCCTGTGAGGATGATGGTAAAACCAGGTGAGAGAAGCTCCAATATGAGGTTCATTTTTTATTAAAATAACAATCAAAATTCACCTTCTTAATATCTTGCAGGATTGTGAGAGCCTCCCTCCACCTCGCAGTCCGGCTGAAGAGCTTGATGAAGAGGCTGCTGGCTCCAGTGTCCAGAGAAGGGAAGCTTGCCCTCATAATGTCGTAGATATCAAACACTTCTGCGTCATGGCCGCATCTCACACACAGTGTCAGGTACCGTAGCAACAGCTCATAAGACAGCGTCCCTGTTTCCGTGGCTACAAAAGTCAGCAGGGACCTGCGGCAGAAAGGTGTTGCACATGTTTGTAACAGACACATTCTTAATTCACCGACCTTCAGAGCACATTTGCCTTGCTTATATGTGAATTGTTCAAAATCCTCTCTCACTTGACGATATCCAGCTCCGTCTCAGCAGTGAACATCGCATTCATCATCGCAATCTCAAAGCGCGGGAAGTTTCCGAGAGACTCCCTCAGCTTCCTCCACTCAGCTACGGACAGTGGTCGGTCAGGAGGCTGCATCTTCTCTGTGAAACATTCATACTTCAGTGAACGAAACTGAAACAATGATTCCCAAACACTTTCTTAGATGTAATGTTGGACCAGAAAGTCTGACTGAGAGAAAAATGATGCTGACTAAAGCAGATGGTTCCAGTCTGTTGTTCTACCTCTACCTCTTGTGGTTGGCTCCTTTTCTTGCTGCTCCTCGTCCGGAGAGACCAGAGCTGCTTTCTTCTTCAGGATCTCTGCTGTCCTCTTTGCTGTCCCGGCAGCAAACACAGATTTGGGGAGGGAAGGCTTCTGCAGAAAAGTGGGGCTCTCATCTCTTTCTTTCACATTGTCACACCACTGTTCCTCTTCCCTACATCTGATGGTGCCATTTCTTACTCTCCCCTGTCCATCATTCTGCCCACCGATCCTTCCGTCTGTCTGTCTGCCACCTGGGTGGGGGTTGTTGTCTCTGGTGCACAGAAAGCGTGCCGAGAGAGGTCGCTGCGACGACTTGCACAGCGGTGTCTTTAATGTAAAAAGAGCTGAACTTCCTTGGTGAAATAAAGACTTTAAGGGTTTCTGGCATGTTCTGACTGTTAATATCAAGGTGGAGCCCATGTTTGGATGTTTAACCTCTGGGCTTGTGTAATGTGTTCATGTATTATTTCCTACGGTTCGAGTTATAAATCATCTATAATCCTTAACTAACAAACTGTGGAAACTTATGACCCCAAACCAACTGACCGCAAAACTAACACATGCTGCTCGCTACATGAATCAATGAACTGTAAATAAACAATAAATAAGAGGAGCCAGAGACAGATGACTCACTCTCTCGTAGCTCTCACTGAACTCTTTAAATGTGGCTCACTCTTCGCCTTGATGTCCACATTAGATGCGCTGGACAGACTCACTGACAGTCACAATGTGTCCACGACCAAAAGCTCACAACTGTAGCACTGACTCCAGTCGCACACTTTGACGTCATCAACGCTTGACAGCTGCGTCAAGCTTTTAAAGATAACCCGAGAAAGACCGGATGCAGCAATCTGGTTTCAAAATAAAGTGACATTTTATCAGTTGAAAACTTATATATACTGTATATTTACTGTCAATGGTTGAAAAAGAATTATTGGAGGAACATTATTATTTTCCTAAAGATTTGCACAGGAGCATTTATTATATACTGTGTTTCTGTAGTCTCTGTTTTGTGCTTACCTTCCAACTTTGGTTTTAAATGGACTGATACTTCCTTTAATGATTGCATTGATGACTTGAATATTCGATTTGAATGGACAGCAACTGTAATACATTTACTTTACTGCTTAATTGTTTGGCTTTTGTGGGCTTTGGGTTTTCCAAATTAATAGAAATTATTTATTTTTATTTTTATTTTATTTTGTAATAGACAAAAATTCAACCGGAAGCCACATTCTTGTTTTGGAGTAGCTTGGTTACTTTTGTACACAAGTCGACTTCACACTGCTTGTGTTTGACTTTTAGTGGTAACAGGTTTTACTGAATAAATATTAGATCCACTTCGGAGCAGCAATGGCTAAAGAACAACAGCCTCACTGGTCGGATATATTGAAAAGGAGGTTAGCAAACTCCCAACCAGGTAACGTTACACTAACACTGGCTAATGTTAGCTGCTGTGGATTGGTGCCTATGAGCGATGGTTCGCTGTTAGCTAGGTCAACATTAACACTTTGTCCCTGTTCCTGGACAGACGAGAGAAGCGACGAGCAAATGAAAGCAGAAGAAACTGAGCTGTTCACCAAATATTACACAGAGTGGAAGGGAGGAGGCGACAGAGACAAGTCCTACCAGAACATCCCACGATTCTACTACAGGGTATATTCTTTAAATAATACATTATTGTGTGAACCCAATGAAAACTAGTGTCATTCAGTTTCATTATGATAGACAGAGCACTAAATCACTGAAACCCCCCTAACAGTATGTCTTCAATAAATCTCCATTTAAAGAAAAGGGTCACATTTCCTGTAGGAAGATTCATTCATAGTTTTGATAAGCTATTTTATGACGATGTATTAATAATATATGACACCAGATCAAAACAACTCATAGTTTAATGGAAGTATGGCTTAATGCTCTCACATTACAGTAGCGTATAGCATTAATAATTAAACAACAGTGATGGTGGTACTGATGATGAAGATTATGATAATGTTAATCATGTTATAACTGATGTGTAGTTGCCAGCAAGGCGCCACAATACAGGCTTGTTGTTTGATGATAAATATGTGCACGAGTGAACATAACGCAGGTGATGATGATGTTGCTCTGCAGCTACCAGCAGAGGATGAAGTATTACTTCAGAAGCTGAGAGAGGAGTCCAGAGCCGTCTTCCTCCAGAGGAAGAGCAGAGAACTGCTGGATAATGAGGAACTACAGGTACAACACACACACACTTTAAAGTGGTCCTACACAACATGATGCCATACGTCTGCATGAATAGCGACACTGCAGGTTTGTCATTCACTGTCACTTTGTTGTCTTTGTGCTTTTCTGCAGAATCTGTGGTTTCTGCTCGATAAGCACCAGGTGCCTCCAGTGAGTGGGGAGGAGGCCATGATCAGCTATGAAGCCTACCTGCAGGTGGGGGAGAAGGCCGGGCCCAAGTGCAAGTGAGTAACAGGAAGAAGTAGAGGTTTGCTGGCAACAGTACAGTTTAGGGAAAACCCCCTGTGCTAGCATTGTTTTACAGCACAGTGTGTTCTCGTTTGCCTCATGCTAGATCAAAGGTCGATTATGGAAAATCCCCCTATCAGCTCGACTTTATGTCCACCTGGCGTCAGTCTGTCTTGGCTGATGAGGAACTGTATATTCAGATCAGGCAAATACACATAAAATCCTAATAGCACTGAAAATGTGAACACTTCCTGTGGAGGCTGTCAGAGATGTATTTAACCACATAAAAAACCCAAGCTACATACGCACTCTGTGGCCATAAAAAAAACCTTTTCAAACAGTAAGTGACACACATAGAGCAGATGGAAAATGTGTCAATGTGTGTACTGTCCAGGGATTGACTATTAAAAGACATTTTCATTGTTGAAAAGCAAAGAGAAATCTGATTTCTTGTCAGTCTTGAACAATAAAATCCAGCTCAGATACATAGGAAGAGGAACATGTTAATAGCAGATGTAAAGGGGGAATAAAAACAGTCAAAAGTAAAAAAAAATTCTCCTTCATCCTTCAGAAAATTCTTCACAGCCAGAGTGTACGCCAAGCTGCTGCACAGCGACCCTTACGGCAGGATCTCCATCATGCAGTTCTTCAACTATGTCATGAGGAAAGGTCTGGACCTTCACTTGGCTTTGTTGTCTATCTGGTCTCTTTTTACATACAGTGAAATATCTCCCAGCCCTGTTTTCTGACCTGAATTTATCTGTACTGGTGTAGTCTTGTCACTGAATGTTGCTAATCTATTCTCTCTGTGCATCTAGTCTGGCTGCATCAGACGAGGATAGGTCTGAGTCTGTACGATGTAGCAGGACAGGGCCACCTGAGAGAGTCGGTAAGCATAGAGATTTTCAGCCAGTAGGAGAATAATGGTTGCAGTGAAATACAAAAAAAAAATGCAAGGAAAAGTTGACCCTTGTTATTCTGTGTAGGATCTGGAGAACTACATCCTGGAGCTGATCCCCACTCTGCCTCAGCTAGACGGACTGGAGAAGTCCTTCTATTCTTTCTACGTCTGCACCGCCGTTCGCAAGTTCTTTTTCTTCCTCGACCCCCTCCGAACAGGTGAGACTGACGCCAACACAGGGTGAAAATGTGTCTCTGCAGTAAAATGTTGAATAGTACAAGTGTATTAACAATTTAAAATGGACTGTACAGAAAGATGTCCAGAGAGGGCATGTGTGCTTTGTTAGAAGTAATGTTTGCGGCTGTATTGTGTTTTTATACGGATGCAACTCTGTGTATATATATTCTGCGTAACAGGAAGAGACAAAGTTTACAAAGTCAACAACATTTCCTTTACTGAGGGTGCTTGTGTCTCTGTTTTTGTTTTTCAGGAAAGATTAAAATCCAGGATATATTGGCCTGCAGTTTTCTGGACGACTTATTGGAGGTATATGAGGTTTCTTACCTTACAAAATAGTCAGCATTGCTAGGCAGATTTATCGTTACAAGGAACTGTCATTTTGTGTTCTGTTTTATGACCAGTTAAAAACTACCTGTAGTAAGTAATACTCCCATTGTGTGTCGAGACCAGCTGATGTCATTTCCTGCTTCTCCTCTCTTTCTCTCTCCCTCTGTGCTCCCAGCTGAGAGATGAGGAGCTGTCTAAAGAGAGTCAGGAGAGCAACTGGTTCTCTGCCCCCTCAGCTCTCCGAGTCTACGGTGAGAGAACGTCTTGATGTAAATGTTCACGATGTTAAATGATCCTTGAGAACAATGTAGGTCTTCTGCAGTGCAGGTCATTTTCAGCACTGAATGATAGGATACTGTGGTTCAAACATATGATATACACTGTATAATATGTGCCAGCTAAGTGACAAGACTTTGGTGGAAGTGGTGTGAATCTGGGATTTTCTGTTTTATTTTCTGTTATTTCTGTCTGTACAGGCCAGTACCTCAACCTAGATAAGGACCACAACGGGATGTTGAGCAAAGAGGAGCTTTCACGCTACGGCACAGCTACGCTTACCTCAGTCTTCCTGGACAGAGTGTTTCAGGAGTGTCTCACCTATGACGGAGAAATGGTACAATCAACAACAGCACCAAGAGAGATGTGGTAGACAAACACATGGGTGACAAATTAAAGAATGGCTCCAATGCTACTGGATTAACATAATTCCTCCAAACGACACGTGTGAAGCTCACAGCATGTAAAGCCTTTCATTTATTCAGGGTTTTCTGTTAACTCCTCACCTGTCTGCATGTTAATGCTCAACTTCAAACGAAACCATGACGTTACTCTTCAGCTGATGATTGAGTGAACACACTGTGTCCCCTCTGGCCAGCTGACACATCTATGACACTTATTAATTATTACACTGAATCTCCAATCTGAGCATAATTTGAGACTTCTGTGCTCTGGGTCTAAATTGGATATTAACTGTTCATAATTGTGTTCTTCTCCTTCTCTCTCAGGACTATAAGACCTATCTGGACTTTGTATTGGCGTTGGAAAACAGGAAGGAGCCAGCCGCCATACAGTATATTTTTAAACTTCTGGACATGGAGAATAGAGGATACCTCAACGTATTCTCCCTCAACTATTTCTTCAGGGTATCAGCTGCACAACCCTCACACAAACACACTGACGACACAGAGAATGCCTTGTCTCTATTACTATTAGGGCCATTTACATGTTACATTAATTCTTAAAATCCTTAATCACCAAATTCTCACAACTGCACTCACTTTGTTACGTCAGTGTTTCATGATACTGTTTGTGTGCTTGGTTCTTCAGGCCATTCAGGAGCAGATGAAACTCCACGGGCAAGAGCCTGTCTCCTTCCAGGATGTCAAGGTATGTTACACACACATTTATTTTGGTTGACATAAGGTTCGACCGACCTGTGCAGACCCTCCACCAAGAGTCTTTTTGGGGTAAAAAAAGATGCACATTTTGATCGCCGTCTCTCCTCAGGATGAGATCTTTGACATGGTGAAGCCTAAAGACCCCTTTAAGATCACTCTGCAGGACTTGGTAAACAGTTGCCAGGGCGACACCGTCACCAGCATCCTGATCGACCTCAACGGCTTCTGGACATACGAGAACAGAGAAGTGCTGGTCGTCAACGACAACGACAGCAGCAACACAGCTGACCTAGATGACACCTGAAGATGATTTGGAGACTCTCCTGTCACCAGAAGGCTCACAGTTTCAGTCCCGACCTGAAAGCCAAGTGTGAGGTGAACTGTTACTGCTGACTCAGCTCCGTCTGAGGACAGCCAGACGCTGTGATTTGTGTATATTGTTATATATTATTATATTGTTCTGTGTTCCTGCCTTTTCCTGTAAAGAATACACATGTATTTTCTCATTGGCCTTTTTAAAAGTAAATGTTTCCTTTTTCCAGCAGTGTTTCACTTTTCTTTGTCTAATGGAAGCCTCTTATCGTTTACACCTACTGAAATCAAACCGGTGAGAAAATCAAAAAGCTAAAATACAAACATATAATAAACGACTGATTGACAGTCAAACATAAAGTGGCTATAATCAATATGTTGGATAAAATGTGAAAATGGTCACTCATATCATCATGTGACTCTTCAGTTCCCCTCAGCGCTACAGCATTGTGTAGCGTCTTTCAGGCTCCCATGTTTTTGGTTTCTGGGGCTTTGCACGAATTTTCTGTTTTTGGTGGTCACTCGGGTGGTGGAATTTGTTGGCTGGAAGCAAAGGCCAGCTGTTTTTGGTGGAAAACCTCATGGAAACTCCACTTGGTACCACTACTGGCCAAGCACTACACGACAGACACACAGACAACTATCTGGTGAATATGGTGGAGCATTAAGTAGCCAGATATTTCCCTCAGGTGTTGGTCAGAAGTAATTTAAAACTATAAACAAACAAGATCCAAGAGTTTTATTAGATAAGATGAATACGAACAAATCCAAGTAAAACAGGTGCTCAACAGTTTTTTGGGAAACTGTGTATAATACTAAAAACAAAAGCCAACCTTTTGAATGTTTAAAGAGTTTATTAAATATAAATACATATATACAGATTCATTAAGTCTGTTAAAATAACCAAAACATTTGCATATGTTGTCCTTTTAAAAAAAAAAAAAAAAGCATGAATAAAATCCTTCATTGACTCGTAGTGAAAGACATTTACCCACTAAGTATTATTAACATGCCGTACACTTTGTCTGATATGTTTAAATTTCACTGTTTATCTTTAAGGCCCATTTTGAAAAAAAGGTGCGCGTAATTTCTCTGCATCTGGTCACCACACAGCGATATCAGAGGATAAAAATAATGAATAAGAGGCTTATGAGAGCTCAGTCTCAGCATTAGGCGTGCTGCACAGCTAGACACTTATATCAATCGCTTCCACAAGGACACTTTAAGAATGACCCCTCAACACACACGAACAAAGTAGAAATGTATGTGAGCAACTTTTCTTGCCAATGTAAATCATCAGTCATCAATACATTTGAGTTATATTGATATTATTTGATCTACATTGGCTAAAGAATTAGCACTTTTGGCATTTCCAAGAAAAAACAATTAGTACTACATAATGTAAAGTTGTTTCTGTTTGTCAACCCCTTAAAGTATCATTACAGAAACACTTTTTTACATTATGACAAGTAAAGAAAGCAGCTTATTTCTTTGAGATTAGCATTGAAGTCAACAAACTGCAGCTTCTTGCCTGCCTCCAAATCTCAACTGTGTAAATCAAGCTGCACAATAGGAACAGAGTGGTGCTGTGACACCTTAAGAACAGGAGGTTTTTCAATGAAGCCTGTGATTGACTACACCGTCAAGTACGGTACAAAATGACTAGCAGAGAGAGAGTTACGCTCCAGTCACTGCTGGATGGCTTCGACTGTGCCATTTTCAATGACTTAGGATATAATGCTTACCAGGAGGGACACAACAACAAGTTAAATATGAGCTGCTTAAGGGACACAACATCAGGCAGATGTTATGCTCTGAAGGGAAATAAGATGTTAGAAGATTGTGGTTAATTAGTAATTAATGCATGAAACCTATTAAAGTAGCTTTTGGATTAACCAGCCCTTAGTCTGACTCTGCAACAGTGATCCATGACTAATGCCTCTGTATGTAATTGACCAAGTTCACACACAATATTCCACACGTGAGGAAGTATCCATGACTGCTAAAAGGCTGAGGCTGCAGGGTTGTCATATGTATTTGGACAAAATGTTGAACTTATTATTGATGTTAAAGGTGCCGTTTGATGAAACTCGAGGATTATGTTTGGTTATGATTGGCTGAAATGGAGAGTACAACACGTTCACCGTGCATTACACCAGTTCTGGGTACTGATGTCATCACTGCCTGCTCATATCTTTATAGTTTGGAGGTAAAATACTATCCAGCACTGCTACACTCAGAAGTGCAGGAAGCAACTTGAAAGCGGAAATGGCTTGGCAAAGTTGGCTAAACCTATGAAATGTCATACTTTGCATATACAAAAGGAGCAGGATCAACAGTTGTACAGTAGATGTAGCATGTGTCTGTTGATGCTGCTGCTCCAGTTCAGGGTGGCTCTCTGTCCATTTGTAATTAATGAAAAAAAACTGAGATTGATGTCTATTTCTTTAGAAGATTTAAATCCAGCATATATTTCACCTTCTCAACTCAATTTAAAGTGAGTTGATCCCAGTCGCAGTTTACTCAACAAATAGTTAAAGGACACATCTCAGTGTTGCATATGATTTTTCACACTATACACAAATTTACATTCACAGGTAAGGCCAGTGCAGCCACTTCAAGAGCCCTTTAAATGTTTCCCTGCACTGTGTACTTTTTATAAAATAAAAACATAGAAAAATAATATTATTAATCTATACAGCTAGGTAAATTAAGGTTTTGCCAACTGATATAAATGTTTAAATATTAATGGTTTGGAGTGTCAGTCTTCAGGAGGGGAGTGGAGAAGGGACTCTGTCTGGAGTGCTGAGAGAAGGCTCAGGCTGGAGCTCAAAGCTGATGTTTACAAAGGAAGCTCCGGACCCTTCTGGCTGCTCCACTGTAGCGGGACGAGGATCATCCTGCTCACCTCGCCGCTGCTCCGCAAAGCGACGCTCCGCCATCTCAGACAGATGGTTCTCCTCCTCTTCCTCCTCCTCCTGCAGGAGAACAGTGTGTTTAACATTGAATACTTTTTATCTGAGAGTTCGTGCTCTTGCTCCTGCCTCTGTGTAAACAGGTTTTAAAAAGGTGTGACTTTATTCATATTTATATACGCAACTGACATATGAAACTCAAGGATGTGTGTGTCCTACCTCTTTCTTCATACGGTAGTACTCATCGATAGCATACTGGTATTTAGGAGAAGTGATGCCAAAAAGAGAGGCCAGTCTCTCTCCCATGTAGTCACACACTACAGGAAACACACACACACACACACACAGTCAATAAAGATAACTCCAAAACTAAGATATATAGAAAACAAAAGAGTGAAACAAGCTGTAAAATACATTGATACGTTACTGTAAAACAAATAGTACAGTTTGATAATATTCCATAACATTAACACTTCAGGATTTCCATGACAGGTAAGAACCCAGTAACATGTGACTGGTCAACTGTGTCAGTGGGCTGCTTTACCTGAGACAGTGGAGGTCGCCATTCTCCACATGTGGAACCAGAAATAGGGGCCCCAGGTCAGTTTGGACTGAAATACATGAGAGGAGAACCATGAAAACAAGCCCACCTGTCTGCTGGTCAAACACAAAAGTACAAATGTCACCTAAGACAGGATTTAAAAGCGTCTGTGTCCTCAGGCGCAGCAGTGAGGCTCATATAGTTCACTTTACCACAGCAATAGATCGCCAGGGTTACGTTTTAAGACTAACTTGCCAACTGAAATACATTTGCAAGTGACTGGCCATTTATGTTTTGATGAATGTAATAAACTGAAGCTGTGTCTCAATCACACAGAGGGATGGCTCTGATGCGAACACCACCCACAGGATCTGCCTTACACCTGATTCAGTATCTGTAAAATCAACCTAAGTGTCTGGAGCATACCGAATCAACAGTAATGATGTCTTTCTTCGCAGGCTCCTCCTCTTCCTCCTCCTCTTCATCGGTGCTGTACTCCTCCATGGTCTCTCCACTGGCAAAGTGGATGGTCCTGCGGGGGACCTTCACCTTCACCCGCCCCCCCACAGAGTCTCCCATCTCCACCCTCTCAAAGTCTGTGGCCGCTTCTGGGCTCTGACACTAGTCCAAAACAGACAATACATATATATATATATACATATATATATATGATGTACTCGCCATTGTTATTAGTAATACACAGTATATTATCATTATTATTATCAGCTTTAGAGTAATTTGTAAATGATAAAGTGCCCATAAGCAAGGCACAAGCACGCTAACAGGAGTTTGCAAAGAGAAATCATATAAATAAAACATCAGAAACTTACCTAACAAAGTTATTAAACTAGCGTTACATGTGACTTAAGTCTTTTATCTCATTGTGTACAATAACGTCGGCTACACAGGGAGGAAAAGTACAGTAAAGTTAATGACAGACGGTAAACTGTTACCAGTGTAAAGCACTGTGAGTTTATTAGCTCACTTTGGCTACTTTTTGTTTGACTGTTAACGTTAGCTTCTTCGCTAAGGAAGTCATTCGTTATTAATCTAAAAAGTCTTTATTTTATCTTTCACAAACATTAAAAAATGGCGAAAGTTGTATCGCACGGACTAACCTTGTCAGTTTCCATAGTTTGTCCGAGTGAAACGTTCGCGTTAGTTAAATACAACGACAAATCTGCCATCTCAGTCAACACTTCCACCTCTCTACGGTCTGTTGTCTGTGGGCTGCTGGCAACACTTCCGGCTCCTCTTTCACAATAAAAGCTTTCTGCGCAAAACCCGGGTAGCTTGACATCAGGGTTCAGCCAGACTACATTACATATAATATATATCATAGTCAATGATTGGTGGTAAATGTTCTGCACAATATACATTATCTTTATGAAGAGATGTCTTTTATTGATAAAATCGCCAAGAAACCAAGAAACATAAATAAAAAAATAAATAAAGAGATACATAAATAATATAATTAGTTAGACATTGGCTAGAAATAATAAAATAATAATTAAAAATAA